GGTAGTGGAGTGACAGAGGGCTGGGCCCTTGGCAGATTTGTCTTGTGGCAGGAAGTGGTGCCAGGGGAGCCATATGCACGTAGCCTGCACGTGACACATAAGCCTCTGCCAATTTGGGCCCCACGTGCAGGGCCTTCCAGCCCCTCGGAGACTTTCAGGCCGTTTCTACTCCCTCCCTAGACCCCTGGAAGGCCAACCCAGGACTCACCTTCTACGGGCATGTGGGGGCCCGGGGCCCTGGGCCTGTCCAGCGAGGGTGGCCTACGGTGCAGACCCTGGGTTACACGCAGGGGTCCTGAGCGGAGTGGCCGATGGACCAAACGAGCAGTGCTCTTCCAGCAGGGCGAGGCTCTCGGTGGTGGGGCAGCAGCTGGATAGGGTCTGGATGAAGCCACATTGCATCAATGTCAGACTGACCGGGGTTTTAAGAGCTCAGCACCCAGTGCTCCCAGGGGCTCTGGCATGCTCCCCCTCCAGTCCCATCCCCAGCCTCAAGCTCCTCCACCCAACCCTCTCTGGGTCTCTATCTCAGTCTGCCTCCAATCCCAGGATTCACTAGTCTGCACTGTCCCCAGATTAGTGGATAAGATTGTGGGTATCAATCTTGGTTTCAAGATATACTAGCTGTGTGACCTTGGCCAGTTACTCTGCCTCTCTGGGCCTTACCTGCAGAAGTGAAAATAACGGTTATCCTGAAGAGGGTTACATGGACAAGCACATGAAAACACATGGTGTTCGGTCACGTGTTCGCCACTACGATTGCACACGTCCTGCTGCTGCAGGTGTGGCCACTTGGAGGAGAAAGTTCCCCTCGAAGTCAGGGTCCTTTTGGGGCCAGAGAGCTGCCACAGGGGCTGGATTCCACTTACCCTCTGTGTGAGATTCCTGGGGCTGTGGTGACAAAGTGCTGAAGACGGGGTAGCTTCAGCGGCAGGTATTCACTGTCTCCTGGTTCTGGAGGCTGCAGTTTGGGTCAGGGTGTCGGAAGGGTTCGTTTCTTCTGAGGGCTGTGAGGGAGGGTCTGTTCTAGGCCTCGCCCCCTGCTTCTGGTGCTTTGCCAGCAGTCTTTGACACTCCTCCCCGGATGTCCGCATGGCGACTCGCCGTGTGTCTGCCTGTGCCCACGTTTCCCCTGTGTATAGGACTCTAGTCACCTTCGATTAAAGCCCAGCCTCGTTTCTTCATTTTAGCCTGATTACCTCTGTGATGATCCTGTCTCATCACAAGGTACTGAGCACTTCAATATATCTCGTGTTGTTGTTGCGGGGGATACAGTTCAACCCAGATGTCCCCTGTTTGCTTCCTGCTACCCTTCCGGCTGGGTGGTTTGGATTGGGTGCGACTTGAGACCTCAGGCCCCCAGTGCTCCCTCTTGTTTCTCCCCTCATGTAACCACAGGACCCTCACACTGCTGCAGAGAGGCCAGAATGCACACAGGAGGAGCTGCGGTGAGACCGGGTGGGTGCTGCCCAGTGAGCTCCCTGCGTCCCTAGTCCACATGCCCAGCCAGGGAGGGCATTCCCGGGCCCAGGAGGAGATCTGCTCCCCTCTGAAGGCTGGACCTGCCCAAACCCAAGAGCTGTGTGAGGGTTTCTGTGGGTGTGAGAGGATGAGGCATCGGGGCCCCTGGATGGGCATGCAGCCTGCCCCTCCTCACCCCTTCCTGGCCAGTCACAGGAGCAGGCTGCAGGCTCTGGAGAGGGAGAACCACCAGCTGGCTGCTGGGATCCAGAGGTGGAAGGTGGGCAGGAGCTGGGCTGCCTGGGGTGGCGTGAGGTAGCCCCATCTGCAGTCAGGGCCCCCAAGGAACCCTCCTGAGGACCCTAGAGCCCTCCCCACACCTGAAGTCAGGGGCCTTGCGGATTAAAGTGGGAGGCCGGGTTCTGCCGCAGCCACAGCCCTTCCCCTTGGGGCCTCAGCCTCCTGTGTGTTTAATGGGTCCCAAGCTCTCCACCCTGGCCCTGAGTACCGGAGTGCTCAGGCTCAGGGGTGTGGGGCCTCTGGGGCTGCCACGGCCCATCTGTCCATGATGGGCTCTTACCCCCAGTGTGAGCTGGGAACCTGCAGGCAGGAGCAGGACTTTGGCTGCCACTGGCACCAGAACCCTCAGCACCAGCTGCTAGGGGTGAGGGTCAGGCGCCCCAGGTCAGGGTGGCCTGAGCATGACCACCCAAGGACAGGGACATAAGAATCCGGTCAATTTTGACAGACTGAAGGGAGGGCAGCCACCCTGGAGCAGCCCAAGTGCTCCCGAGTCCTTGCCACCTGCCCTCTTCCCACAGGGCAGATCCCAGCAGAGACCCCAGGCCGGTTCCCAGAGTCTGCAAGCGGAAGGTGGGCCCGACTTCGCCCTTCCCCACTCAGCCCACTGTGGCTTCTCTGGGGGACTACACAGGCATTTACCTGAGTGGGCACCAGCCAAGCCCCACCCACCAGCCTCCAGCCCCACAGCCTGTGGATGGAGCCGCTGGGAGTCCTCGCTGGCCCGTCAAGGGACAAGGGTTCCACAAACACCGATGGAGATTCTAGTCCCAGCTCTGCCCCAAACTGGCCAGTGGCCTTGACCAAGCCCCTCACCGTGTCTGGGGCTCACCTGTACAGTTCCATCTGCACACGGGGTGTGGGGCTCACCTGTACAGTTCCATCTGCACACGGGGTGTGGGGCTCACCTGCACAGTTCCATCTGCACACGGGGTGTGGGGCTCACCTGCACAGTTCCATCTGCACACGGGGTGTGGGGCTCACCTGTACAGTTCCATCTGCACACGGGGTGTGGGGCTCACCTGTACAGTTCCATCTGCACACGGGGTGTGGGGCTCACCTGTACAGTTCCATCTGCACACTGGGTGTGGGGCTCACCTGCACAGTTCCATCTGCACAC